AAGTGATGCATTTCAGACCGAACTTCTAGATTTTTAAAAGCAGCTAGATGGTATTTAAAAGAAAGTCAAATCTTATCTGGTAGATAAAGCTGGTAAAAATATGAAGGTCTAAAATGTGGTTAAAAAATGTGAAATTATGATTCAATTTCGAGATGTTTTTCAACTTAATTAAAATGATAATGATATTTCCCCTTCAACTAAGCAGATCATTGGAAGAAGGTATTTTCGGATCTGAAATAAGCTAATGTGAATATTAAGGGACTTTAGTGATAATATCTCTGAAATAATTAAAAATAGTAATGAAGAGTTGAAGTAATAATAAGAAGAATTGAAGGTAAATGAATCTGAATTTAAAAAGAAGTTTCGAGCATTAGTTGATAGCTAAGTTACTTATAATCTCTCATAATAAGCATCACTTCTATAGCTCGAAGGCCACTGTAGTTTACTTTATAAAGGCTCTAAACATGGGTTTAGAGCTTAAGATTTCCACTCTAGATGTGATAATAAAGGGCCTACCGTATCTTTCATATTAAGTAATCATGGCCAAGTTTTCGGAGGTTACACATCTGTACCCTGGTAAACTCCCGAAAAGCTTTTTTAACCTAAAAAAGACAGTACTGCATATTTATTCCAATTAAATAAGAACTCTAAGCATCCAATATATCAAAACTTTGTTGATCACGCAGTTGGCCATTTTAAGAATTAAATATTATAATTCGGACTAGCAGATATTCACATTGAGGATGAGTGTAATTTGAAAAATACGAATTAATGTAGTATTGGTAATACTTTTAAGCCCCCGAAAAATTTAAAATATGGTGAAAATGAGATGATGGATTATTTAGCAGGAGCTAATAAATTTAAAGTGTTAGAAATTGAGGTTTACAAAATAGAGCAATGATCATTGCTTTAATAATTTTAACTAATCTGAGAAATATGAAATTTCTAATCATTTTAATTCCAATACTGGTTAATAATTAAAAATGATTTTTTAAATAATTACAAGCTTTAATTATATAAAGTATCATGGGGTTTTGGGGTTTTGGGG